TAACAACAAACAAAGGTTGTGGTTTACACACTCTTATTTTCGGCCAGGGCCTAAAATAGGAGTAGGAAAACTTTATTTTGAAAAGGAAATATTTTGGATGTTTAGGGAAGGTATGGAGAGTGTGGGCTCAGCCTAGGGTGGGTGTAGGACAACCATGGTGTTGGGTTGGGTTCTAAGACAGGAAAATGGAGAAGTTTCATCCCAATTAATGTCACCACACTTGGGCTTTACTCCCCTGATCTGTCTTTCCCTTGGCGGGCTACGGAGAGTCTTCGGGCATGCTCCTGGATATATATCACTTTATGACTCTCGGATCGGAAAGTCGCGGAAAAAGTGGCTAAGGCGTCAAGCTACGGACGTTAAAGAAGCACTTAACGGGAGGCAACCCGTCATTCAAATAATTAAATTATTCAATAATTTTATTTGTTATTTTCGAGTTTCTAGTTGCCACACCAGTTTTGGGGGCAAGAATTTATGTGTTTGTTTATGAGTGTGCAGATGCCTCATCGTCCTTCTTACCCTACTGTGGACCGTAATGAGGTCCAACTGATTGATGGTGCTTTTAGGACGAGGTTCGATGAGTGGGGACACTCATGGGTGCTACACGAGTCTATGTGTCTAGCTCAAGACACACTGACGGACTATGGCTATGCAGAGGAGATGGAGGAGCTACTTGAGGGGACCAGATGGCAGCGCCTGCTTCAGATGAGGGCAGAGTCTAGCCTACCACTGACCATCGAGTTCTTATGCTCGATATCTGCTATTCCGGAGATTGAGTCACGATAGATGACTCATAGTTTGATCACTGCTGATACCACATTTGCCTTCACTCTTGCGGGCCAGTCGTTTCAGTTGACAGTGAGAGAGATGGCCGTTCGTCTCGGGCTCTACACCCAGGAGGAGACCGAACAACCTGAGTTCTACGACAATCCCTTTTGATGTTTCGTTTGTGTTATACCCCTGGATGGCTCCACCAAAATCCCAACCCCTCCCAAATATCCAAAAGTATTTTATTTCCTTTTGATATCCAAAATAAAGTTCCTACTCTTATTTTAGCCTAGGGCCGAAAATAAGAGTGTGTAAAATAAAACCTTTTCTTTGTTGTTATTTTCCTTCTTTTAAGCCTTTTATTCAGCAAATAAAACCCTCCCTCTATTCCATTTACCCCTGGCCAAAATACACTTCACAATCCCAACATAAACACCCACAAAGAGCCAAAACCCTGACCCACCACTAGCCACTCATTTCATGCCCATATTCCCTTACAAAAAAACCAATCCTATAAGTCCAAAAACCACACATTATATCCCCCATCCCTGCCCCCTTTTATTAACCAAAACAGCCACACCTTAGCCAATCAATTGTGAATTATATTCACATATTCCCTCCCACCACTAATGGCCAAAAACCCTGCCCTACAAGTACAACCTATCCCTGATTTTTCTCCCCACCAAAGGGACAACAACAAGGGGAGGTCATGCTATTGATTTAGGAGAATAAGATAGGAAGTTTCCTTATGTTTACATTCAATGTATTGTGTATTTTTTCCCCTTCCCCTACCTATATATAAATCAGGCCCTATGGCCAAATGTAACACACCTTGAATAATAAAAACTCCCTTTTACTCTTTGAGTATTTATAAAATATTGTGATGCTATTTTAGCCAAATTCCTAATTCTATATCTTAAGAGTGGTTATCTTAAGTGTGAGTTTTAGGTTCTAGATATTTGATTAAGTGTGTCATATCTTAATTAAATTCTAGATTCAAACCCTAAGTTAGAATAACAGTGTGTAATATCTCTTAAATACCAACTTGGTTTATCCATCCCTGATTTTCTTCCATTTC